GTAATCCCAGCTACTCAGGAGGCTGAGGCAGGAGAAGCACTTGAACCCGGGAGGTGGAGGTTGCAGTGAGCCAAGATCACACCACTGCACTCCAGCCTGGGAAACAGAGTGAGACTCCATCTCAAAAAAAAAAAAAAAAAAAACCAAAACCTCCTTCATCTCACCTGCTAACAAAAGCAGTCTGCTTTCTTCCCGTCTGCACATATCCCATGTCTTACCACTGTGATGGGGCTGCAGTGGGACTTGGAATCCAGATGTGTGAAGAATGGAGGGGTTGAAGGTGCATGGAGGGGTGATGGGACAAGGGGTCCAGGAGGTGGTAACCCCAAGTTTCTTGGCCTTGGTCTTCCCTACCTCTCTGGGACTGGGCCAGCTTAAGCATCTCAGCTGCCTCTTCTGCCCGCCCCCTTGTTAGCCGCAGTCAACTTCCTGCCCCACCACAGGAAGTGGGGCGAGACAGCAGGTGCAGTGACGGCTGGCGGAGCCATGGTAAGTCCTTAAGCCCAGAAACCTGGGCATCTTGGCCCCCAACCCCCTATACCCAGGGTCACAGACCCTGCTGACTCTTCCTAGCCCAAGAGCTCAAGTGATCCTGGGGGACCCTGCCTGCCATTGCCAACAGCTTCATATTGTGCACCCCCATCCACAGGACAAGGAGTACGTGGGTTTTGCTGCCCTCCCCAACCAGCTGCATCGCAAGTCCGTCAAGAAGGGGTTTGACTTCACACTCATGGTGGCAGGTCTGGGGATTTTGGAGAGGGAACTGTGGAGGGGATGTCCTTAGGAGACCCTTGCTGTCCTCTCCCGTGACCAGTGGGGCCTGTTCTGTCCACAGGGGAGTCAGGCCTAGGGAAATCTACCCTCATCAACAGCCTGTTCCTCACCAACCTCTATGAGGATCGCCAGGTGCCAGAGGCCAGTGGTAAGTCCCTCGACACCCTCTACAGGCAGTCCCCTGTTCCTGGGTCACATCCTAGTCTTTTCCATCTGGGGACTCGGGTAGCTGACTTTTTTTCTGAGACCTTTCTTCCCTGGAAAATGGGTGCAGGCAACTGTGAAATTGACAAAGGAAATTAATCCTGCCTCAGAGCCTCCCTGGATCCCTGACCTCTCTCCCATCCCAAAGCTCGCTTGTCACAGACTCTGACCATTGAGCGCCGGGGTGTGGAGATCGAGGAGAGGGGTGTGAAGGTGAAGCTGACCCTGGTGGACACGCCTGGCTTTGGGGACTCGGTGGACTGCTCTGACTGGTGAGGAGGAGACAGAGGCTCAGCCTTTCACCGTGGTGACTCCCTGGAGACCAAGGGGTCAGTTATAGAGCTGGTTTGTTCTGGTTCCCTATCCCAAAAGGTGGTATCTGTTTCGGAGGGCCACGGGTCCCTGTGCTTCTTGAGGACTCACATAGGCCCCACCAGTTCCCTTTAATGTCTTTGGATGAAGCCAAATAAATGTTTTACTCTCACAGTCCTGGCTAGCCTCACCCCCTGCCCTCTGGCCTTTGATCTCTGACTTCATGTCCTCTCCCAACACCCAGCTGGCTTCCTGTGGTGAAATTCATCGAGGAGCAATTTGAGCAGTACCTTAGGGATGAGAGTGGCCTGAACAGGAAGAACATCCAGGACTCCCGAGTCCACTGCTGCCTCTACTTCATCTCACCCTTCGGCCGGGGGTCTGGTGGGGGAATCCTGGGGGTTGGGGCATTTAGGGAGGCCTAGGGGCTGGGGGTCTTTGTGCCCTGAGGCTGGGCACTGACCAATCCCTGCGTGCAGGCTCCGGCCCCTAGACGTGGCCTTCCTCCGGGCAGTACACGAGAAAGTCAACATTATCCCAGTCATTGGCAAAGCGGATGCCCTGCTGCCCCAGGAAACCCAGGCCCTCAAGCAGAAGGTGTGAGTAATGACCTCTGACCTTTAACCCCAAGTGAGGCCAAAAGTCACCACCAAACATAACATGATTTCAGCTTAGACATCTTTGATCTTGGAGTGGCCTTTTTGGAGCACGGTGTGTCAGGCTAGACTGTAGCAGCTTCTGAGGAAGGCACGTGGTAAGCTGCCAGCGTAGCCATGTCTCTGAAGGCTCAAAACAGGCGAGATACGAAGCCTCTGGGATAGATGCTTGGCTAAGGCCTATTTGAGGGCAGAAGCATAGACACGAGGACATGGTGACTTCCCTCTGGCCCCTACCTTGTGTCTTCAGCACCCTTTCCTACCGTTTATGCCTATGTCTCTCTTGACCTCTGTCTTTTTTGTTTGTTTTTTGGAGATAGAGTCTCACTCTGTGGCCCAGGCTGGAGTACAGTGGCATACCACTGCAGCCTCAAACTTGTAGGCTCAAGTGATCCTCCTGCCTCAGCCTCTTGAGTAGCAGGAATTACAAATGTGCACCACCATGCCTGGCTAACTTAAAAAATATTTTTTTGGCTGGGCACGGTGGCACACACCTGTAATCTCAGCACTTTGAGAGGCTGAGGTTGGAGGATTGCTTGAGCTGAAGAGTTCAAGATCAGCCTGGGCAACATGGCAGAACCCCATTTCTACAAAAAGTACAAAAATTAGTCATGTGTGGTGATGTGCACCTATAGTCCCAGCTACTCGGGAGGCTGAGATGGGAGAATCACTTGAGCCTGGGAGACTGAGGCTGCAATGAACCAAGATGGAGCCACTGCACTCCAGCCTGGGTGACAGAGTGAAACCTTGCTTCAAAAAATATATATATATATATATTTTTTTAAGAGATGGGATCTAGCTATATTTCCCAGATTTCTCCTGATCTCTTAATGTCTGCCCCATCTTAGAATTTTGTTTCTCACTGTCTGAGGTTTTAATTTTGGTCTTCCTGTACGTCCATCTCTCCCCATCTGTGTCTTTTATGGCTTTCTCTCTATCTCTGACCACCCAGTATCTCTGTGTCTCACTGTCTCTGGCCACGCAATGGTTGTCATTGTGGCCTGTTTCACACTGTCTCTGTATGTTTCCCGAGATCCGGGATCAGCTGAAGGAAGAGGAGATCCACATCTACCAGTTCCCTGAATGTGACTCTGACGAAGATGAAGACTTCAAGAGGCAGGATGCGGAGATGAAGGTGTGGGAGACAAAGAAGGAAGGGGGTACGGGGTGTGGTGGCTCACGCCTGTAATCCCAGCACTTTGGAGGCTGAGGAGGGCGGATCCTTTGAGGTCAGGAGTTCTAGACCAGCCTGGGCAACATGCTGAGACCCCTTGCCTCTACCAAAAATACAGATATTATCGAGGCATAATGGCAGGTGCCTATAATTCCAGCTACTTGGGAGACGGAGGCAGGAGAATCACTTGAACACTCCAGCCTGGGCAATGGATCAAGACCAAGTCTCAAAAAAAAAGAAAGAAAAAAGAAAAGAAAAAGTGAAAAAAAAAAAAAAAAAAGGGAGGGGTGGGAAGCAGAGGAGGCGGGTGTGGAGGCTGAAGCTGGGAAAGAGTTTCTGCCATGTGGGCCAGGAGTGACACCTGCCCCCTGCCCTCCAGGAAAGCATCCCTTTTGCAGTTGTGGGTTCCTGCGAGGTGGTGAAGGATGGCAAGAACCGACCAGTGAGGGGACGCCAATACTCTTGGGGGACCGTGGAGGGTGAGTGAGGACAAGCAGGGGTCCTGTGGCAGAAGGGAGCTCGGGGCTTCTGGGTCAGGCGCACTCAACATGTGAGGTTGGGGTGGATCCTAGGAGGAAAGGGGGGGGGTCTTTGGGCTGCAGATTGTGGACCCTCCTATAGAGTGGCAGCAGGACTTCCTTGTAGACCCGACCCTGCGGGTGGGTTGGACTTGAAACTCCCTGATGTTCGCTGCTCCGCCGCCCCCTTCCCCCTCCAACCTCCCAGTGGAGAACCCACATCACTGCGATTTCCTGAACCTGCGACGAATGCTGGTGCAGACACACCTGCAGGACCTGAAAGAGGTGACGCACGATCTGCTTTACGAGGGCTACCGGGCCCGCTGCCTACAGAGCCTGGCCCGGCCTGGGGCTCGCGATCGAGCCAGCCGCAGGTGAGAGCCGGGGCCGACAGTCTTGGAGCCTCCAAGGTCCCGCCTCACCCAGGACCCGGTCCTCACCACCCGTGACCCCACCTTCACCACTCAGACCTCTCACTCCCCACCCCCTTTGCCTTCGGCCCTAACCTCAGGGACCTGGCTCCGCCTCCTAGACCCCAACCTCGCCCCAGGCCCTGCCTCCTGGGTCTCTCTCACAACCTCAGGCCCGGTTCCTGATTCCTGTCCCCTTCCCACTGCCCTGCAGCAAGCTTTCCCGCCAGAGCGCCACGGAGATTCCGCTGCCCATGATGCCTCTGGCGGACACCGAGAAGCTGATCCGCGAGAAAGACGAAGAGGTGAGCACGCACCTCGCTTCTCCCCGACCGAGGCCCCAGGTCCCTTTCTGGCCTCGCCGGGTCACCGCCTGCAATCTCGCCCCGCACAGCTGCGCCGCATGCAAGAGATGTTGGAGAAGATGCAGGCCCAGATGCAGCAGAGCCAAGCCCAGGGCGAGCAGTCAGACGCCCTCTGAGGCCCCGCCCCGCCCGGCCTTACCTCGCTTCCGCCTTCAGTCGGCCTCTTGTCCAATCCCCGCGCCCCACACTGCCCAGCGCCTAATCCCGGACGCCCGCGGGTGCCGCCCCCGCTCTGGCTCGGGGGAGGGTCTCCGAGCCCGGATCAGAAGCCCCGCCCCTGCCCCGCCCAGACAGACCCCGCCCACTTCCCGAGCAGAGCCTGCGGCTCAGTCCCTGACCGCGGCACTCTTTCGGGGTCGCCCCTCTTCTCCCAGGCTCTGTCTTCAATAAAAACAGCTTCCCGCAGCCACGCGAGACTTCTCCTTCCTTGCGGAAACAGGCGGCAGCCGTAGATTGTAGGACCGCCCCCTCCGCAGGCCTCCAGGCCACATCGCTCCATTTGTGGGGTGCTCCCTTAGGGGTGGGCCGCGTCTGGGCCCAGCCTCCAACCTGAGGCTCTTGTGCAAACACACTGAAGGCATTGCCGATAAGAAAGAAAGACCAGTTGTATTTTATTGGGAGCCGGACGGGGGTCGGGCCGGCCGGAAGCGTCGGCCAGGGAGGCCCGCGGGGGCCCCTACTCCTGGTCCTTGGCGTCGCCGTGCGTAATGACGTAGCAGATGTTCTTGTAGTCAACGTTGCCGCCCACGTCGGGTGGGAAGGCCGCCCACATGTTCCTGATCTGGGGAAAGACGCAGGGGCGTCTCGCACCGGCCCTTAGGCTCCCCGGCCCTTGCCCCTTCACTTCTCCAGCCCGACCCGCCCCTACTCACCTCCTCCTGGGAGAAGCGGTCACACTGCGTGGTCAGCAGCTCCTCCAGGCTGGAGAGAGGTGACACACGGGGAGTTGCAATTGGATTCCTGGTTCCTTTCAACTCTCTCGCACCTCATGCCCGCACCTCATGCCCGTTGCTAGCCCCAGCCTCCCCAAAACCCGGTCACTCTACTTCCTCATTGCCCTCCCAGAGGTTCTCTTTTGCCCTCTCCGCCCACATTTGCTGTGGAAATGCAATCTTACCGCCCATTACCACAATCCCAACTACTCCCTTACCTCTGACAGTGCCTAACCCTTCATAGGAATTTTTATTTCTTTGTTTGTTCTGAGACAGGGTCTTGCCCTGTCGCCCAGGCTGGAGTGCAGTGGTTTGATCATAGGTCACTGCAACCTGGAACTCCTGGGCTCAAGGGATCTAACTCCTTCAGCCTCCAGAGTAGCTGAGACTACAGGTGTTTGCCACCGCGCTCGCGATTTTCTTTCTTTCTTTTTTTTTTTTGGATACAGAGTTTCACTATTGTGTCCCAGGCTAGAAGGCAGTGGCTTGATTTCGGCTCACTGCAACCTCCGCCTCCAGGATTCAAGCGATTCTCATGTCTCAGCCTCCGGAGTAGCTGGGACTACAGGTACCTGCTACCATGCCCAGCTAATTATTATATTTTTAGTAGAGACTAGGTTTCACCGTGTTGGCCACGCTGGTTTTGAACTCCTGACCTCACGTGATCCACCTGTCTTGGCCTCCCAAAGTGCTGGGATTACAGAAACAAGTCACTGCGCCTGGCCAGCCCGCGAATTTTTAAATTAAGCTTTTAGAAACAGGGTCATGCTATGTTGCCCAGGCTGCTCTCAAACTCCTGGCCTCAAGCCAATCCTGCCTCTGCCTTCCAAACCACTGAGATTATATAAGCCTATCCTCCTGTATCTGCCTTCCAAAATACTGAGCCACAGCTCCCAGCCTTGGTAGGAATTTAAAGGAGGCTTTCAGTGTGGGAGCAGCTGGTGGAGTGAGGGGAAGGGGAGGAAGGGTTGGGGGACCAATGCTCACAACTGCTTCTTGATGGTGCCCTTTCCCTCAGGGTCCAGGACCTTGAAGGCTCCAGTGATCACATCCTCAGGGTCAGCACCTGTGGGGGTCAGAGGGCACATGAAGCTGATGGGTCCCTGAAGGGTCTGGGGAAAAGGCAGCTGGGGCCTTAGACACAGAACACTCCACTCACCCTTGAGCTTCTCCCCGAACATGGTCAGAAAGACGGTGAAGTTGATGGGACCGCTGGCTTCCTTCATCATGGCATCTATCTCCTCATTCTTCACATTGAGGCGGCCTGGTGGGGGAAGCATAGGCTGGAGTAGGCTTCTGAGGCCGGGGCTGTGCTTCCCACTAATTCAGACGTTCCCATCCATTTTTTCAGCTGGGTAGACTGAGGCCCAAGGTGGAGTTGACAGGGCCGGAACGCAAGGCAACTGAATTTCCTCGACTCTGCAGCCTTGAATATTCCCACCTGGGGTAGTGGGCTCACCCATGGCTGCGAAGGTGTCCCGAAGGTCCTCCTTGTCGATAATGCCATCACGGTTCTGGTCAATCACGGTGAAGGCCTGGGCAGGGCCGGGATGGGTAGGGTTAGGTCTCCCATGGCCCAACCTCAGCATCCCTACCCCAGGCAGATCAGATGCTGGCTCCTAGCCAGCTGTCCTCTTCTACCCCAAGCAGGGAGGGGAGGAAGGAATTCTAAACCTTTCCCCTCCTTCAAACAGGTGCACATTCCAGGGAGAGGGCGGGAGTGAGGGTTGCATTTGGTCAGCCTTTCAGTTTCCCCTGTCCCCTCACTCACCTCCTTGAACTCCTGGATCTGAGTCTGGTCAAACATGGAGAAGACATTGGAGCTTCCGCCCTCTACTGCCCTTCTCTTGGCTTTCTTGGGTGCCTGGAGGGTGAGGGTTGAACAAAGGGGCCCATGGACCAGTCCTTCCACTTCTCTGGGGGCAATGGATTAGATTCAGAATTCTTTGAGTCCTAGTTCCCAAAACAATTCTTTGGCCTGAGTCTCCCCTTCCTTGGGGACCTCTTTGCTGAGGGGACCTGCTTTGATTGCATTCCCCAAATTCCCACCGGTGGCTCCTGGGCCTCTTATCTCTTCATTCCCCACAAAGAATGGAAGCTTCCTTCTCTTCTCAGTGGTCTGAACCAGGTTCCTCTGAGCCCCAGACTTGCTGTGTGACCCCAACCACTTATTTGCCCTGTTTGAGCCTCTACTTTCTTTTCCTTCCTTCCTTCCTTCCTTCCCTCCCTCCCTCCCTCCCTTCTTCCTTTTTCTTTCTTTCTTTTTTTTTTTTGAGACGGAGTTTCGCTGATGTTACCCAGGCTGGAGTGCAATGGCGCGATCTCGGCTCACCACAACCTCCGCCTCCTGGGTTCAGGCAATTCTCCTGCCTCAGCCTCCTGAGTAGCTGGGATTACAGGCACGCACCACCATGCCCAGCTGATTTTTTGTATTTTTAGTAGAGATGGGGTTTCACCACATTGACCAGGATGGTCTCGATCTGTTGACCTCATGATCCACACGCCTCGGCCTCCCAAAGTGCTGGGATTACAGGCATGAGCCACCGCGCCCAGCCCTTTCCTCTTTCTTTCTTTTCTTTTCTTTCTTTCTTTCTTTCTTTCTTTCTTTCTTTCTTTCTTTCTTTCTTTCTTTCCTTCCTTCCTTCCTTCCTTCCTTCCCTTTCTTTCGTGTTGTCTTTCTGTTGTTTTTTTTTTTTTTTTTTTTTTGAGAGTCTCACTCTGTCACCCATGCTGTAGTGCAGTGCTTCGATCTCGGCTCATTGCAACCCCTGCCTCCCCGGTTCGAGCAAATCTAACACCCTGAGCCTCTGGAGTAGCTGGGATTACAGGCATCCATCACCATACCTGGCTAATTTTTATATTTTTAGTAGAGACAGGATTTTGCCATGTTGGCCAGGCTCGTCTCAAACTCCTGGCTTCAAATGATCTGCCCACCTCAGCCTCCCAAAGTGCTGGTATTACAGGCATGAGCCACAGCACCTGGCCTGAACTTCTACTTTCCTATTTGTAAAATGGGATATGAGTTATTGCCTGTGTGGTGCCAGAGGGCTTTAGGAAAATGGAGTGCAGGAAGGATGGAACAGGTTTTGAAAGGGACTGGGCCCCTGTGAGTCGAATGTCTGGGCAGATTATCATTGATTGGATCCTTCAGGCTATTACACATTCTATTTTCCATCAGTGATGCTGAGAAAGAGATGACCATCCTTTTAACTTTTTGTTGGACTGGGAACCGGCAACTTTCTTTCAAAGGGTGAGGCTGCCCTGAGGTCTAACGGATTTGGGCAGGGGTTGGAGGATTGTCACTCACCATGTCTTCAGTCTCCGGGGGGCAAGGCAGCGGCTCCGGTGGGAAAGAAGCAGGGAGTCAGCATGGGGCAGTCCCTCTGGGGTTATATAGTCCTGCCCCAGGGAGCCCTTAACATACCAAGGTAACCTTAGCCCTGTGGGTACCCACCCCAGATACCAAAATAGCCCAGCTCAGGGCCTCTCCTTTCTTGGAGGGCTTGCAACAGCTGGAGCCCAGGGGGAGTGGGGGGTGGGGGGAGAAGCAGGTCTTAGGATGCATGTCTCACTGAGGCCTGGGCAAGAAGGGATATTCTTTCTCCCAAAGAGGGGCTGGAATGTGCCAGAGTTTAGGGTGGACCCAACCCAAGGCAGTGTTCTGGGAGAGAAATGAACCACATCCTATACTCCTGTGTGGGGTCGGGGGGGCTCAGATTTAAACCCAGTAAACTTCCGGGTGTAGTGGTTTACCCCTGTAATTCCAGCACCTTGGGAGGCTGAGGCAAGAGGATTGCTTGAGGCCAGAAGTTCAGGACCAGCCTGGCCAACATAGTGAGACCCCTGTCTCTTTTTTTTTTTTTTTTTTTTTGAGACAGTCTTGCTCTGTCGCCCAGGCTGGAGTGCAGTGATGTGATCTCAGCTCACTGCAACCTCCAGTCTCCCAGGTTCAAACATTTCTCTTGCCTCAGCCTTCCAAGTAGCTGGGATTACAGGTGCACACCATCACGCTCCACCAATTTTTTTTGTATCTTTAGTAGAGACCAGGTTTCACTGTGTTGACCGGGGTGGTCTCGATCTTCTGACCTCATGATTCACCCACTTTGGCCTCCCAGAGTGCTGGGATTACAGGCGTGAGCCACAGTGCCTGTTCCCCTGTCTCTGTTTTATTTATTTATTTATTTGAGACAGAGTTTCACTCTTGTTGCCCAGGCTGGAGTGCAATGGCACGATCTCGGCTCACCACAACCTCCGCCTCCTGGTTTCAAGTGATTCTCCTGCCTCAGCCTCCAGAATAGCTGGGATCACAGGCATGTGCCACCACACCGAGCTAATTTTGTATTTTTGGTAGAAATGGGGTTTCACCATGTTGCCCAGGCTGGTCTCGAACTCCTGACCTCTGATGATCTGCCCTCCTCAGCCTCCCAAAGTGCTGGGATTACAGGCATGAGCCACTGCTCCTGGTCCTCTATTTTAAATTAATAAAATAAACCTAGTAAACACGTATTGTATGCACACAGTGTGCCACGTGCTAGGCCAGGCTTTGTGGGTGCACTTTGGCAGACACAATCCCTCCACCTCCACATGGTGGACTTCATAGTCAAGTGTATGTATATGTGGAGGTGGTGGGAAAGAGCCATCTGTGGAAGCTGGGGGATCAGCTACCTCCCTTCAAAGAGAGGGGAATTTTTGTTTTTTTGAGATGGAGTCTTGCTTGTCACCCAGGCTGGAGTGCAGTGGCAAGTGATTCTTCTGTCTCAGCCTCCCAAGTAGCTGGGATTACAGGCACATGCCACCACACCAGGCTAATTTTTTGTATTTTTAGTACAGATAAGATTTCACCATGTTGGCCAGGCTGGTCTTGAACTCCAGACCTCAGGTGATCCACCCACCTCGGCCTCCCAAAGTGCTGGGATTACAGGTGTAAGCCACCGTGCCTGGCCAAGAGGGGGATTTTTTGAGGAGAGATGCTCTGTGGTCTCAGGTTTTGTGCTGAGCCTTGGTTTCCCTTCTGTAAAAGGGAGATGTAGTTCCCATCCCTCAGAACTTGCATTATAACTAATAATTATCCCTGCCTTGCTGGAACTTATAGTCTAGCCATAGAGATAGGAATGAATGCAGAAACGGACACAGCAGCTGGTCAGGAGTGCAGAAGTGGAGGGCATGGCGGCCCTGTCTAGGAGTATGGGAGTGGCTTAACGAGGGCCAGGGAGTCAGGTGCAGGCGGAGGAACAGGTGTGCTCGATAGAGGGCATGGCCTAGGCAGAGGCCTGGAGAGTGGAAGATCAGAGGTGTTCAGGTTGCCAGAATTGTGATGGGGCTGGTGACCAGCCCCTGAGGGCCCTTGAAAGCCAGGCACAGGGCGGAGACCCTGGGTAACCTTGGAAAGGTTTCATGCAGAAGGGCATGGTCTAGTATGAGTCTAGAATCTTTTCTCTGGGTACTGGTGTGGAGGCTGGAAATCAGGAGGGAGGCAAAGACCCTAATCAGACAGCCAGCTGACCACCTTCTCTGAGGTGGCTTGATGGCTAGTGGCAGCTTGCTTCATTTTGGCCAAGAGCTAGCTTGGCTGATTGTGTGACTTTGATGTACCCTCTCTTTTCCCTCTGGGCCTCAGTAGCCCAGTCTTCTCCATGCAGCAGAAGTCTGAGAAAATAGTGGCTGAGGAAGCCCCAGGTTGGCAAGGACAACCATCTCCTTCTCCTCCTGCTCCCTCTATGACCTAATGTCCTGAGGAGGATGCCTCCCCCTTCCTCCTCCCCCAGCCCCATACCAGTGCCTCTAAGACATTTTCTTTTCTGGGCACTGAGGCCCAGCCACCTGTTGTCTCTAAGAAGAGAGAAGGAGCCACCCTAAACTTAGCAGCTGGCCTTAGCCTCCCACACCAGCCCCTCCCTGCCTCAGATGGCAGCTGCCTCACCTTATAGGGTTACCATGGGGGTCGAGGCCGGGGGGGTTCACTTATTACTGGGTTCTGGGAGAGGAGGAGGACTCCAAAAAGGGGAATGGGAGGAGTGTTGAGGAAGCTTGGGTCAAATGGAAGATGAAGGTGAGAAGGAGATGAGACACTGAATGGGAATTGACAGGACTTTCGGCTGAGTTGGCAGTGAGGGAGCTTAGAGAACTCAGAAATCAAGGAGGGGCTGGGAAGTCGGGAGCTAGGTCTCACTGGAATTCCAGGATGGTGGATGCTATATGGAAATTGGACTGTGGGGGTCAGAGAGAGAAGAGGGTGTTTTAGAAGTTGGAAAGTTGGGCCGGGCGCGGTGGCTCATGCCTGTAATCCCAGCACTTTGGGAGGCCGAGGTAGGCAGATCAGGAGGTCAGGAGGTCGAGACCATCCTAGCCAACATGGTAAAACCCCATCTCTACTAAAAATACAAAAATCAGCTGGGAGTGGTGGTGCATGCCTGTAATACCAGCCACTCAGAGGCTGAGGCAGAGAATCGCTTGAACCCAGGAGCGGGAGGTTGCAGTGAGCCAAGATCGTGCCACTGCGCTCCAGCCTGGGTGACAGAGTGAAACTGTCTCAAAAAAAAAAAAAAAAAAAAAAAAAAAAAAAAAAGTTGCAAAAAAAAAAAAAGTTGCAAAGTTGGATGTGGCAATGAGGGGACAGGGGTTGATGGAACTGGGGTCTTGAATCCCCCAAAAGAATAGTAACACACACGGGGAGTTCATGGTATTGAGGATTCATGGATTTGGGGTTTGAGATCTTCACTAAAAGAAATGGAGGGGGCGGACTCAGAGGGATAAGGTCTGAGGAATTGGAGCTGGGTTCTGCGGAGGAGCTCAGACAGATGGGAACTGAGGAGAGGGATTTGGAGGTTGGGATTCCCGTAGGAAATGGGTGAAGCAGAGAGATGAGTTGCTTATAGGATTTTGGGGTTCGGGCTATTGCCAGCTGGACCTAGAGTGTTAGGGTTAGTTGGGGACGGGATTGGAAAATTAGAGTGAAGGATGAGAGTACTGGGTCAGGGCACTGGATCTGTGGTAGGGCTCAGGGTCCCACAGACCACCAGAGTAGGGGGCTCAGGAATTGAACGGAAAATAGGGACCCCGAAAGAACTCGAGAAGGGCAGCGCGGCACTCATTGGCTGAGGGCTGCACTAATGCCCCCGCCCCTTCTCCGTGCTGTCCCCAGCTGTCACCCTCCTCTAGGGGTTGTCTCCGGTTGTCACCGACTATCCCTGGGCTGGCACCGCCTGCTGGCAGCATCTTTGCCCTTTGGATGCTCCCATTGGCTGAGACAGATATCTATCTTCCTGACCTGTGGGTAATGTGGAAGAACGCGATCATTGGCTGAGGAGGCGAATTAATCTGTTTGCCCCGCCTCCCCCAGCTGTCATTCCTTCCTGACCATTTTGGGAGACCCAAAGTAGTCCTCAGCTCCTTCTATTGACTGCAGATGCTGTCTGTCAACGCCCAACTAGAGATCCTTGCCTGTCAATTTGACCTCCACCTACTCCCCTTTTCATTGGCTTCCTTTTTACCGTCGCTATTGGTCAAAAAGCTTTCAGGCCCCGCCTCTTGCTCGTACAGCCCCTGCCTCTTCCTCCGCCCTTCCGCGGTCATTCACTCTTCAGTCATATTCATTGGCCAGGAGGTTCAGGCCCTTGCACTTCTAATGGTTGTTTTCTTCGTCCCACCTACCCCCCGCCACCTCCTCCTGACTTTCCTCACCCTCTGACTGGTCTTACAGCCCTCCGCCTTCTCCGTTTCCTCTTTTCAGATGATCCATCCCCTTTTCGCCTCCAGCCCCGCCCACGATTCCAACGATTGGCAGAAGCCCAGTTCCCTCTCTCCCACTATTCGTCCAAATCCTCTGACGAGGCGGGAGAAAAAAGGAGCGCGACGGGACAGTCCGCGCGCAGGCGTGGAACGTCGAGACGCTGGCCGCGGAGCCGGCTCGGCAGCGTGTGCGCAGGCGCGAGGTCGGCGGCTCGCCCTAAGCGGGAGGGAGGGGGCGGCGGCGAGAGCGCGCGAGAGGGTGAGAGGGCACGAGCGAGACCCCGGCGCACTGCGCCCCCGGACCTCTGCCCCGCCTCTGCTTGCTCGGCGGCCGCCCCGCCCCCGGCGCGGGCCGAGCTGCGCCCTTCGCCTTCTCCCCTTTCTCAGCTGGCCTCGCCGGGAGGCCTGAGGGGCGGCGCCTTCTGCGGCCTCCCCGGCGGGGGGATGTGAGGGGCGGCCTGCGGCTATGGAGACGGGCCCGGCGCCCCTGGTGGCCCCGCCGCGCCGTCACGGCGCCCCCGCGGTTCCCTCGCCGCCGCCCCGGGGTTCCCGGGTGGTGGCTTCGGGACCTCCAGTGACTACGGCCACTTCGGCCCCTGTCACCCTGGTGGCCCCCGGGGAGGCGCGGTCGGCCCAGAACTCTGCTCCGGCCCCGGCCCCCGTG